TGAGTAAATTAGAACAACTTAATAATGACAATGATGATGATGATTAAGAGGAAAACGAGAAATCAGTCCAAATTTATGCATGTCAATTTGGATGGGGTGTTTGTTTGACAATCATGTAACCTCTTTTGTAATTATAAAACTACTTTAATATCCTTCTTTATATTCGAGTTTTATCTGGATTAATATCAATATGGAGTGATTCCTTTTTAACAAAAAGTATGAATTGATTTCTCATTTCTCAATAATGACTATGTGGAACTTTAAAGGTAGATTCACTAAAAAAAAAAGTTAAATTAATTAATAAGTGGAACTCTAAAGTTAGATTCACTAAAAAAAAAGTTAAATAAATAAATAATATTTTATAAATCAAGTTTTAAATTGAAATTTTAGGATTATTATTAAAAAAATTAATTTTTTTAAATGTACAATATTTATACCAGATATGAACTTTTAAGATTTTTTATAAAAAAAATTAATTTTAAAATACATAAAAATTGAATTAAGAACTTTGATAGTAATTAAAAATAATAAAAAAAATTCAAACAATAAAATAAGACACCCAAATAAATAAGTAGACTCGAAGAAGTGCCACCATGGACTAACAATAATAATGGGTGTCCCTATACAAATAGTATCTGAAATTAATTTATCTGCACCCAACACCCCCTGTTTCATTCATCAATTTTGGAGCTTCTGTTGGCGGTGGTTCTAACTTCTAACATTTTGCTGCAACCACCTGCTTTTTAACTTCTCCTGTTGCATGCATAATGTTGGTACGTAGTTTTTATCATCTTCTACAGTATATAGCTTGTCATTTTTCAAGCAGGGGTGGACCAGGGGTTTGTGAATTATGGAGCTACATTAATATAATTTCACATGCGTCCTTATCCTGACCATCTGTTTCGGAAAACCCGGCCTTTCCCAAAACCACCACACTCTGGCTCCCTGCACTAATAGCCAAAATTTTACGCCCACGCGAGCATCGGAAAATACAGTGCAAAACCTAATCAATATCTATCAAAATAGGGAGAAATTTTAAATTTAAATTATATAATATACAGATTTAAAAAATATTAAAGAGAGTTAAATTACAATAAGATCGTGAAAAATTAAGGTATTTTAATAATTAAAATATCAAAATATTTTAATTTTTATATTTTTTTTATACATTATGTAACTGTTTACAGTCTTAGAATGTAATACGAGAGAGTATTTTTTTGCACTCTAATTAATAAAATAACCTTTACAGATCAAAAAAGAACTATACATTATGCAATTTAAAATTTCAAAAAATAAAAAATAAAAAAGATAGTATTGACAAATTGCAATGCTTTTTAAGTAAGAAAAGAGATGGGAAAAGGAAATTCTTCCGGCAACACTCTGCAGCAGAAAAAAGGGTTATGTTGTAGGTTCCGTACCATTAACGAGTACTAGAAACCGGTACGAATATATATCCTCTGCAGTTTTGCCGCTGTTGATTTAATGCAGTGTTTTCTAATAACCCTAATTATCCCCTTTAATCAAACATTAATTAAGAATTAAAACACTGACAGAAGGGAAAGTAGAGGTCCTTTGGTACTTAAGAGCTCGTTTGTAACGTAGGATTGGATAAGACTGGACATGATTAAAACAATGGGATTAGATTGGATTAGATAATATAATAGTAAAATCTTATGTTTGGAGAGCTCCGGTTTAGAAATTAAAATGTATATTTATCGGCAAAAATATCTTTATTTATAATATTAGTAATATTTTTCAACATTTAAGATTTTTGTTTAAATTACAAACTTATTTTACTATTGATAAAAGATACTCAATAATTAATTTATAATGATTAAAAACTAAAGAAATTAATTTAATTAATTAGCAGTGGATTTGAAATTTTGAGTTGAATTCTATGAAAATTATATTTCTATCAAACTAAAAAATTAATAGTAGCACGGGTGGGTAGAACTAACCGCAACTGAAAAAATTTGATCGAGTTTACTAAAGCTAAATTTGATGACTTGGGTTTAACTGAATTTTTAATTTTATTTTATTAAAAATTGAATTAAATTGTCAACTACCTGAGTTATTCAGTATTAATCTTTTTTCGTTGAAAGTAAAAAATTTTAAATTTAAGTTGTATAATATACAGGTGGGATAAATTACTTTTTGTTGTGCAATTAATGTAAAAAAAAATAAACCAAACTAATTTTAATTAATTTATATTTTAATTGTTAAGTCTATAAACAAAAGATAATATACTAAAAAAAGCCAACCTAAAATTAAAAAAAAAAATTGATGGTTTCTAAATTATTTATAAATTTTCTTGTCATTTTTCATTAAATTTCTTTTTTTGTTTGAATAATTTTATTTTTTTATGATTGAAATTAATAATATAATAATTATTTTTCAAAGAATATAAAAAAAATATAAGAATATTTTTTTGAAATAAAACTAAAAGGAATCAGTAGATTATTTTTTAAAAAATTAATCAAAATCAATAAAACCATTATTTTCAATTCACACCCCCAAATATACATTAATCGATAATTCAGTCTTAGTTATTACTAAAATAAAACTATACCCACCCATAGGTCCTGCGTGTGCAGCAAGCAAATATTACGGGTTCACCGGTTCCGTACATGGACAGAGCGTGAGCGATGGGCCGACGGTGGTTTCAGCTGGGTTATAAACCCGAGAAAGAGATGGGTGACCGGCAACTGTCGGTGGGCGGGGGAAGGGGAGGGGGAGATAGCCGTTAAAGGTGGTAGCAGGTTTACAGGCTGGACATACAGAAAAGCAGTAATGATTCGCCCTCCGATTTGGCGACCGATCTTGTCGTTTTGCGCCAACTCAGCAATTCCTTGCTGCCGTTGGTTTTTTTTTTTTCGAAAAGATTTTTGTTTTCGCTCCCAACCGCCCGCCACCCCATTTGGATTTTTTTAAAAAAGAAAATGGAGGACAGGCTGGCCGTGGGCCAGTCAAAGTGAGACTTCCCCCAACCCCAACCGTTATCATCTTTATTTCTCTCAGATATTAGAGTATATGTACCATGCTCCTTTATTTGGTTATTCTCTGTTCTCACAATAGAATAGAAATAATTGATGAGTTCTCGTGATTGAAGTAGTTATTTATATAAATATCAAAAATAATTTCATATTAGTTTGTTTTAGTATATTTGAATTAATTATATAAAAAGAAATAGTTTTTTTATTAATGATTTAAATAATTTTATAATTAATTCTTTTATTAAAAATAAAAAATTTTGAATTCAAATTTTA